CATTCTTTATTAAAAACATCTTTGTGCTGGATGCACCTGCAAAGTTGATCCCCATAGACTAATTGTACTATCGCCTGAGTGTATCCCACCTTGAGATATGCCCACACAGAAATCTATGAGGACTGGCTGTGCAGGCGCAGCCAGCTGCAAGATGGAGTTAAGTATGTGTTGGGGGTAGGGGTGCAGAACAGCAAAAAAGATATGTGCAGTTTGAAAGTCCACTGATCCTTTCAGCACATATAAGCATATACAGTGCCTTGAAAGAGTATTCATACCCTTTGAAATTTTCCATATTTTGTCAGGTTACAACCAAAAACGTAGATGATTTTTTTTATGATTTTATTTGATAGACCAACACAAAGTGGCACATAATTGTGAAGTGGAAGGAAAATGATAAATTATTTTAAAAAATTTTTACAAATAAAAATACAAAAATAGTGTAGCATACATTTGTATTCAACCCCCTACCACACCCCCGAGTCAATACTTTGTAGAACCTTTAGCTGCTGCAACAGCAGCTGCAAGTCTTTTTGGGGAAGTCTCTACAAGCTTTGCACATCTAGAGAGTGAAATTTTTGCCCATTCTTCTTTGCAAAATAGCTCAAGCTCTGTTAAATTGGATGGAGAGCATCTGTGAACAGCAATTTTCAAGTCTTGCCACAAATTCTCAATTGGATTTAGGTCTGGACTTTGACTAGGCCATTCTAACACATTAACATGCTTTGTTCTAAATCATTCCATTGTAGCTCTGGCTGTATTTTTAGGTTCTTTGTCCTGCTTTCATGGTGGGGATAATGTGTTCAGGGTGATGTGCAGTGTTAGTTTTCCGCCACACATAGCGCTTTGCTTTTAGGCCAAAAAGTTCAATTTTGGTCTCACCTGACCAGAGCACCGTCTTCCACACGTTTGCTATGTCCCCCACATGGCTTCTCGCAAACTGCAAACGGGACTTCTTATGGCTTTCTTTCAACAATGACTTTCTTGCCACTCTTTCATAAAGGCCAGATTTGTAAAGTGAACGACTAATAGTTGTCCTGTGGACAGATTATCCCACCTGAGCTGTGGATCTCTGCAGCTCCTCCAGAGTTACCATGAGCCTCTTGGATACTTCTCCGATTAATGCTCTCCTTGCCCGGGCTGTCAGTTTAGGTGGACGACCATGTCTTGTTAGGTATGCAGTTATGCCATACTTTTTCAATTTTCAGATGATGGATTGAACAGTGCTCCATGAGATGTTCGAAGCTTGGGATTTGTTTTATTACCTAACCCCGCTTTAAACTTCTCCACAACTGTATCCCTGACCTGTCTAGTGTTCCTTGGCCTTCATGATGTGATTTTTTCACTAATGTTCTCTAACAAACCTCTTAGAGCTTTACAGAACAACTGTATTTATACGGAGATTAAATTACACACATGTGGACTTTATTTACTAATTAGGTGACTTCTGAAGGCAAATGGTTCCACTAGATTTTAGTTCGGGGTATCAGAGTAAAAGTGGGATGAATACAAATGCATGCCACACTTTTCAGATATTTATTTGTAAAAATATTTTGAAAACCATTTAACATTTTCATGTCACTTCACAATTATGTGCCACTTTGTGTTGGTCTATCATATAAAATCCCAATAAAATAAATTTACGTTTTTTGTTGTAACATGACAAAATGTGGGAAATTTCAAGGGGTATGAATACTTTTTCAAGGCACTGTATATCTACACTCATGAAGCTATGATCACTGTACGTAGAGACATGCAAGAGTCTCAGCTCAGGAGAGGGGATGCACTTTGGCAACTTAACCTTTGTGCCAGAAGTCCTTGTCCCGGTACTGTAAGGAAGTGTCTGGATAGAATCTGCATTTACAACAACCAGTCTAAAGCTCCAGAAGATCCCGCATGCTTCATGCAAGTGAATCCCATTCATGTGTATACTGTATCTAAAAACAAACACTTTAAAAAGACATCTTATTCCCTTTAAATCAACAGGGCACACCCCATCTGTCAAACGCACATATCCTTTCTTGCCATCCTGTCAGACATGCATGGATATCATTTGTCAGACTATTAGATATTTTTCCTGCGTGATTGTCCCAGCAGATGTTACATTATACACATTTACCACCCAATAATTTAGTTGTCAGCATAGCCAAATATCAAAGAGTAAAAGATAAGCAGTACTAACAGTATTGATGACTAAATTCATTCTAACTACTAAAGGCATTAAAAAAAAAAAAAAAGCATTCATCTTTTGAATAGATGTCGTTAAGCATGTGTTTTTTGGGGGATCCCATACCCCTTCTGATTAGCTGTCCAAACCAAAAGAATGGCAGCAGAGATTTATAAGTGAACTTGCCTGACATCCAACATTTGCATCCTGACATTTTCGTGAACCTTGCATTGTTAAAACTACCAATTCAGATTTGTTCCAGAACTTAGGCCCCTCATCTTTTTTGACTGTTTAACACATATAGAGGCTAAAGAGCAGGCTTGGGCACATCACATTATTTAAGGCACTCATGCTAGAAATAAATAGATCACTAAGATGGCGCCGATGATCTGAGGAAGGGACAAATTCCTGAAATGTGTTATGCTGATGACCAGCTTCTCTCCTTTGGTTTGACATGGTTTGAGTGCTCCCCTAGGCTTCCAGTTTGCCCTCACCAGCCCTTGTTCAGGTGGTCTTTCATCAGGTGTATGACATAACAACCGGATCTGGGACACACAGACGCGCCATCTTAGTGATTCTAGGATCAAGGGGGGAGGGAGAATTAGATTATAATGGGGCAAACAGATCAGACAGGGGTCAGTACTTATTGGTGGGTGGAATGGGGAAAGATGGGGTGGAGGGCTGTGGCAGATAAGAAGGTTCCCATGTTACAAACAACCAGTGGAATTGGTACCATTTGTATGAAAATAAAAAATATGCAAAATACGTGTGAACAAGGTGTCAGTGAATTAAAGTGTTTGTTCACCAATGCCACAAGTCTGCCAAGCAAAATAGGTGAGCTGGAAGCTTTGGTGCATGAAGAAAACTATGATTTAATTGGTATTCCTGAGTCTTGCCTTCTTTCTTCACATGACTGGGCCGTTAATATTCCTGGCTATGTTCTCTTTATAAGTGACAGAGTAAATAGGAAAGGTGGTGGTGTCTGTCTCTATGTGAGAAGTGATCTCAGAGCAAATGTGAAAGAGGACCTAGTTGATGGAGAGTGTGATGAGTTTGAAGTATTATGGGTGGAACTGCACATGGGGGTGCGTACTACAAAGGTAATCCTTGGTGTTTGTTATAGGCCTCCCAGTGTTAATGAGGAGGTGGAGGTTCAGCTTCTTGCACAGATCGAAAGGGCTGCAAGGGCTGGGACAGTGATAATAATGGGGGATTTTAACTACCCGGAAATTGACTGGAGTAATGATACTGCAGGAACAGTTAAAGGGCAACAATTTTAAACCTACTACAGGACAATTTTATGGTACAGTTCATAGAGGCCCCAACTAGGAATGATGCAGTTCTAGACCTGGTCATCTCAAACCATGTAGAGCTTATTACGAATGTCCATATAAAAACATCAGGGTAGCAGTGACCATAACATGATTTCATTTATTGTTAGCTGTAAACAGCAAGCACATACGGGAAAAATAAAAACGCTCAATTTTAAGAGAGCTAACTTTCCAAGGCTGACAGCTGCTCTCCAAGACTTAGACTGGGAGGGAATATTGGCATCAATGAACACAACACAGAAATGAGAGTTCTTCAAAAAGACTGTATGTGAACACACTGCAAAATATATTCCCATGGGCAACAAGTTTAAACCGTTAAAAATCAAACCTATTTGGCTTACGGTCAAAGTTAAAAAAAGCTATAGGTAATAAGAAAAGAGCTTTTACTAGATATAAAAATGAAGGAACACTATCATCGTTTAAACATTACAAAGAATATGCAAAAAGGAAATAAAGGCTGCAAAAATTGAAAACGAATGACAGATTGTAAAAGATAGCAGGACCAACCCCTAAAAATTCTTCAAATATAGTAAAAAAGGTCAGGTCTGAGCTTGTAGGCCTTTTTACAAAATAATCTAGAGTGGGTGACTGGGGACTAAGAGAAGGCAAATTTATTACATACCTTCTTCAGCTCTGTGTATACAAAGGAGCATGGGGGAGCTCTTGTCCATAATGGGCATAGTATTGACACAGCTCCAGATGATCCACATTGGCTCACAATTGATATGATCCAAAAATATTTAGACAGAATAAAGGTGAATAAAGCACCTGGGCCGGATGGCATACACCCACGGGTCCTTAAAGAATTGAGCTCTGTCATTTCGAAGCCACTGTTTCTCATTTTTAGGGACTCTTTAATAACTGGCATAGTACCACTGGATTGGCATAAGGCCAATGTGGTGCCAATATTTAAAAAGGGGTCAAAATCTTTACCAAGTAATTATAGACCTGTTAGTTTAACTTCTATAGTTGGGAAGATACTGGAAAGTTTAATAAAAGACCACATAGATGAGCTCTTGCTGGAAAAAAATATTTTTTTAAGCAACAGACAGCATGGATTCATGAAAGACAGAATTTGTCAAACAAATATATTTCTTTTTATGAGGAGGTGAGCAAAACCTTGGACAGAGGGGTGGCGGTGGACGTGGTATACTTGGATTTTGCAAAAGAGTCTGACACAGTTCCCCACACACGGCTAATGTGTAAGGTAAAGTCTACAGGCTTGGAAAAATCTGTATGTAAATGGATAGAAAACTGGCTAAAAGATCGTATTCAGAGAGTAGTGGTTAATGATTCATACTCTGAATGGTCTAGGGTTGTCAGTGGTGTACCCCAGGGTTCAGTGTTGGGACCCTTACTTTTTAGTATACCGTATTTTCCGGCGTATAAGACGACTGGGCGTATAAGACGACCCCCTACTTTTCCTGTTAAAATATATGGTTTAAGCTATACTCGCCGTATAAGACTACCCCTCTTCCAAGGCACACCAAATAAAAATGAAAAAACATCAGATTTGATTTCAATATGGTATGCTATTTCAGTATGGTATTCCAATGATGGGGTGCTATTCCTCCCACTGACACCAATGATGAGGCACTACTCCTCCCACTGACACCAATGATGGGGCACTATTTCATCCACTGACACCAATGATGGGGCACTATTCCTCCCACTGATACCAATGATGGGACACTATTCCTCCCACTGACACCAATGATGGTGCCCCATCATTAGTGTCAGTGTGTGAGGAATAGTGCCCCATCATTAGTCAGTGGGAGGAATAGTGCCCCATCATTGGTGTCAGTGGGAAGAATCGTGCCCCATCATTGGTGTCAGTGGGAGGAATAGTGTCCCATCATTAGTGTCAGTGGGAGGAATAGTGTCCCATCATTGGTGTCAGTGGGAGGAATAGTGCCCATCATTGGTGTCAGTGGGAGGAATAGCGGCCCATCATTGGTATCAGTGGGAGGAATAGCACCCCATCATTGGTATCAGTGGGAGGAATAGCGCCCCATCATTGGTGTCAGTGGGAGGAATAGCGCCCCATCATTGGTATCAGTGGCAGGAATTGCGCCCCATCATTGGTGTCAGTGGGAGGAATTGCGCCCCATCATTGGTGTCAGTGGGAGGAATTGCGCCCCATCATTGGTATCAGTGGGGAGAATAGTGCCCCATCATTGGTGTCAGTGGGGAGGAGAAGTAGTGCCCCATCATTGGTATCAGTGGGGAGAATAGTGCCCCATCGTTGGTGTCAGTGGGAGGAATAGTGCCCCATCATTGGCATCAGTGGGGAGAATAGTGCCCCATCATTGGTGTCAGTGGGAGGAATAGTACCCCTTCACTGGTATCAGTGGGATGAATAGTGCCCCATCATTGGTGTCATGGGATGAATAGTGTCCCATCATTGGTATCAGCGGGAGGAATAGTGCCCCATCATTGGTGTCAGTGGGGAGGAGGAATAGTGCCCCATCATTGGTATCAGTGGGGAGAACAGTGCCTCATAGTTGGTGTCAGTGGGGGAGGAACAGTGCCTCATCGTTGGTGTCAGTGGGGCAGGAACAGTGCCTCATCGTTGGTGTCAGTGTGGAGGAGGAATAGTGCCCCATCGTTAGTGTCAGTGGGGGAGAGGAGCGGCTGCTCCTTCTTCCAGTTCGGCCGCTAGATTTTCGCGGGGCCGCTCGGCTCCGCCTCCTCGCCGGTGATTGGTCGCCTGTGTGCCTTTCCAGTGCTGGCGCCCAATCACCGGTGAGGAGGCGGAGCCGAGCGGCCGCGTGACCATCGAGCGGCCGAACTGAAAGAAGGAGCAGCCGCGCTTCCTGGACCGGATCGTCGTGGGACCGGAGCCAGGTAAGGTACAGCAGCCCCTCTGTCCACCCCTGTACTTAGTGTCCCGTTGGAGGAGGAGGGGGGGCGGCGCGGCGCCGCGGCGCCCCTCAAAAAAGTGCCGCCCTGACACCTGGCGCCGGCTCGCACCGGCGTATAAGACGACCCCCGACTTTTCAGAAGATTTTCAGGGGTTGAAAAGTCGTCTTATACGCCGGAAAATACAAACTCGTTTATAAACGATATAGGGTTTGGGACTGTTAGACGGCACTGACAGGCACTGATTGGCAGCACTGATAGGTGGCACTGATTGGCATTGATAGGTGGCACTGACTGGCACTGATGGGTGACACTGAAAGGCAGCTCAGATGGGCACTGATATGTGGCATTGATGTGCACTAGTAGGCACTGATATGTGGCACTGATGGGCACTGGCACGAGGCACTGATGAGCACTGACACAAGGCACTGATGGACACTGACAGGTGGCACTGCTGGGCCTACACTGATCATCAGGGCACACTGATCATCAGTGCCCTGATGATCAGTGTACATGTCACCTCCGCGGAAAGCTGATTACCAGCTGTCAGCGTGACAGCTCGAGAGGAGAGAAATGCCGCTAACCGGCATTTCCCTGTTTACATGTGATCATGTCATATGACGTCCTCCCAGAAAGAGAGAACCACCTTGCATCCGTCATATTACTATATGGCGGGTGGGAGGTGGTTAAAAGAGGTATAGACTCCAGAGAGAGATATCATTTTACCCCTGTACAAATCATTAGTAATACCTCATCTGGAATATGCAGTTCAGTTTTAGGCACCAATTCACAAAAAGAACATTGGGGAACTGGAGAAAGTACAGAGAAGGGCAACCATACTGATAAGAGGCATGGAGGAGATCAGCTATGAGGAAAGATTAGAGGAACTGAATTTATTCTCTCTTGAGAAGAAGAGATAAAGGGGGGATATGATCAACATGTATAAATACATCAGTGGTTCATATAGTGAACTCGGTGTAGAGTTATTCACCCTGAGGTCATCACAGAGGAAAAGGAGGCACTCTTTACATCCAGAGGAAAAGAAATGTAATCTCCAAACTCGGAAACGTTTCTTCACACAGTGAGAGCTGTGAAAATGTGGAATAGACTCCCTCAAGAGTTGTTTCTGGCCAGCTCAGTGGATTTCTTTAAAAAAGGCCTCGATTCTTTCTTGGATACACAGAATATAACTGCATACTAACATTTATAGGTAAGGTTGATCCAGGGAATATCCAATTGCCTCTCAGGGGATCAGGAAGTAATTTTTTTTTTTCCCTGCAGGAACAAATTGGATCATGCTTTGCTTGATTTTTTTTGCCTTCCTCTGGATCAACTGTGGGTATAGGATTATAACTTTTTTTTTTCTACTGGTTGAGCTGGATGGACTTTTGTCTTTTTTCAGCCATACTATGTAACTCTCCAGTTTTAGTAAATCAACCCACTATATCACTTTCTACATTAAAGGATAAGTTCACCTTTCATAACATGTTACACCCATATTCAGGATGGAACATATAACATGTTATGATCAAACTGGCCCCAGCTCCCCCACTTTGACAGCTAGCAGGGGGAACTTCTCCCCCCCCGTTAGTTATCAAGTTGGAAAAAAAAAACATGGCTGTGCAGGGCTCCGGCTACCAGGCAACATCACTCATTCACTGCGTTCTGTGAATGAGAAACTACAAGTCCCAGCAACCTTAGAGGCTTTCGGCTTGTGGTTCTCAATGAACTAACATGGTGCTGTGGAGCGCTGTGGTAGTTCATTGAGTCTTCCTATCAGTATATCTACTTGACCGTATATCGCGTACGGATAAGCAGATATACTGACAGATCTGCAGGAGACCTGCATGGCACCAGTGATCTGCTGATCGCTGGTGTAATGGTTTACAGGCTCCTATAACAAAAAAATAATACAGTAAATGCACATTTTTTTTTTACCTGCAAAAAATGTACATTTGTTATTTTTTGTATAAAGGTGAACTTATCCTTTAAAGTAAAATATTTTTACTTTTTCATGGTAATAGATCTCTTATTACAATCCATTTACGTTATATAGTAAGTAGGATGAGAAGTTGGAGAGAGAAAACGTTTAGATGGGTTAAAAAACAAAATCTAATTAGAATACAATTTGGCCGGCTAAATAGAAGAGCTGGTTAATTACCCACAAAGGGCCATGCAATCCATCTACAAGTATTAATAGAGATCAGAGTCACGACCATGTCAACAAAATAAACAGAAGATAAAAAATATGGCAACAATGTCACTTACATCATTGCCCAGCAATCATCTGACCAATCGAGTCACTGAAGGAAAAACAATGCCATTTGAACCTGAATATTTCAATATGCTAATTAAAAAAACAAAAGAATTTCCTAACCTTCCATAAATTCTTTCCACTTTTACAGTACATACTGGTAGTTATTGTAAAACACCAGCTTTCACCATCAGTGTCTGCAATCATGCTATAAAACGTCAGATCTAGCACTTTCGTTACCAAACACAGCTCAAACTATATCCCACAGTCAAGTACACAGCTGAAATAAATATATGGGAAACATTTTACCTAACAGTATTTATTATTCAAGGTATCCAGCCTTGTAATCCAGGCATTCCTGCTAGACAACACAGCCAAATTCCTGAAGGAATAATAAAATCTCAGTTTTCTGGGCACTTTCAACAGCTGATTTCGGGTCCATTCACACCAGACGTGCTGATATGCGTTGATCAATGCATGCCGGCACATATACATAAAAAATAAATGTACCTCAATAGAAGCAGTTTACACCAGTGTGTTGCACTTACCTGAGCTGAAAATAGGAGAACATGCACTACTTTTTTTCAGCACAAGAAACAATGCATGTATACGCATGTAAGCGCACATAAATGTAAGAGTCAAAACAGTCACTTGAGGTTTTCTTTACAAATACACCTTAGAACAGTTGAAAAAAAAAAAAAGTAATGCAGCACATTTTAAAACACAACACAGCATGCAAATGCATATCAGCAGACGTGTGTTTACGTGCACTTGACACACATTCTGTGGTTAAATGAACTCTTAAAGTGGAGCTCCACCCAAAAGGGGAAGTTCCACTTTAAGGACTGGCCCCCCCTTTGGGGAGCAGGTATACGAAAATGACAGGTACCTGCTTCCACTTCCTAGGCGATCAGAAGCAGGAGTTGTCCTCCTCCCTCCCTCCCCATAGTTTTCTGGGACATGTGACAGGTCCCAGAAGACTACGGGACTATTCACAAAGGGCAGCACTACTCGCGCATGCGCAGTGGGCACCCGGCTGTCACAGGCAGGTGCCCACACTGAAGATGCCAGTGCCAGGAACACAGGGCGATCAATGAAACTGACTATAGGAGGGAGCATTGCGGGATTCAGGGACAGGTAAGTGTCCGTTCTTTAAAAGTCAGCAGTTTTTGTAGCTGCTGACTGATAGTTTTTTTTATTTTCACTGGAACTCCGCTTTAATCACCTACTGAATATGCAGCTTCTTTCCCTTTTAATCCTGGACTATGTTTTGGCTTAAAGCGGAGCTCCACCCAAAAGGGGAAGTTTCGCTTTAAGGACTGCACGTCCGAACCCATTAAGGATTTGCACCTTTGGGGGGTGGGGTGGGGGGGAGAGCGGGTACCCGAATTTGACAGGTACCAGCTCCCAATTGCGGTCGGACCGCCTAGGTGATCGAAAACATAAGGTGTCCTCCCTCCTCGTAGTCTTTTGGGACACGTGACAGGTCCCAGAAGACTACAGGACCATTCACGAAGCGCAGCGCTACTCACGCATGCGCAGTGGGTACCCGGCTGTGAAGCCGCAAGCTGTCACATCCGGGTGCCCACACTGAAGATGCCGGCCTCCAGGAATCCAATATGGCAGGTGAAACAGGCTGCGGGGGACACACCACGGGATCAAGAGACAGGTAAGTGGCTGTTTTTTAAAAGTTAGTAGTTGCAGTTTTTGTAGATGCTGACTTTTATTTTTTGACAGGATGAGTGGAACTCCGCTTTAAGCCAATTTCCTGACCGCTCCCCCAGGTTTCCCATTTTAGGGTGGCTCCTGCCTCTTGCAGCATCCTATGGAGTCACCCTTGCATGCATGGACTACAGT